ACATGCAATAAACTCTGAGCCAAGAACTTGATGCCTCGACTCTCTGAGGATGGGACGAAGCCTGCTTCTCTCGGGATTTCCTAGTGAGCACCTTCTCAATGGACACAGAGTAGATGTAAAAGGGTCAGGCAGGGGGAAACAAAAATACACGCTCATGTTCTGTATTGAAGAAAGAGAAAAAGGATACAGGGGAGAGAAGGATGGATAAAAAGGACCGAGCCAGATAGAAGGGCACAGAGAGAGGAAAGAACGATGTGGGGAGAGATTAGAAACAATAAATAAAAAGAAATTTTCTGGAAGATGAGAGGCCAAGAATGTGGAGGACATACCTGTCCCCCAATTCCTCCCCAGATCTCTGCATACCTCTTCACTTCTTTCTTAAGTGGGTTCTTGACACTCATAGCAACCTTAACTAGGAAATCAACAGTACACAAATAAGGCATAGCCATGGATAGAAAGAGAGGAGAGCCCTGAGCCCAACAACAGCGAGAAGATTCCCTGTAAATACCCAAGAGCAAACAAGCATGTCCAGTCTGCACAGGCACTTTAATGACATCTCCATAGACCATGTCACCACACCACATACACATCAACAGTCTGCTGTTTAAGGCTTAGTGGAGTATCATTGTCTGCAAGACGGTATTAGCAATCCACAGGCTCCCCAAAAAGCCAACTACAGTAGCATCTTTTACAATTAAAAACTCTGTGCTGTTCCCCAGAGACCAGGGAAGAGGTAGTCACAGTGGATACACTGTGCAACTGAGATGTCACACCTAGGATCCACAATATACAGTCCCTGGTGACCTTGGAGAGTGGCTCCTTCCTCCAGCACAAAGCCTGTCACTGTAGCTTCCTTCTAGGCTGGGCTCACTCTCCCAGATTTCTCATTTGCATGTACGCCTCCTCTTCTGAGAGAACTGGGATATTGAATCCTTTCTCAAGTAGAAAATGCTAACTGTGTCTGATACGTGTTAATAGCAGTAATAGTTAATTGATGCATCAGGCATTCAGAGGAATTCTGCTATTGTGAACATTGTAATGAACTCTAATAAGGAGGACATTTATAAACCACTTCATTGTTGAAAGGCACTTTCACAAATATTACCATATTTTATCATAAGGTCTGTGAAGACAGTTTTATCCCCAGTGTTAAGTGGAAAGAAGTGTTGGTGGAGCACATTAATAAGAGAAACTGCATTAACTAGTTTAGAAATTTAGAGAGTTCATTTGCTACTGCTTCTGCGGGCCTTGGTTTTTCTACGGGTTAAACAGAAATCTTCAATGTGGGGCTCTTTAAAGTGCCTTTGCCTCTTGAAGAAGAAGCCAAATGGAAAAATATAATCATTGTCAATCCATGCAAAGAAAGAAGGGTTAGACAACTCCCAGAGTGGAGAACTGTCCCAATGAGTTAGCCATTGGCTCTTTAGGCCAATTCTATAAATGTCACAGTAAAGAAATGACATCTTTTAGATTTAATTGTTGAGAGGGGAACCATGAAGGAGGAAAAAAAAATGGTTTCAAAGAAAACCAAAAATAAAACTGAATTGAGAATCAAGAAGTTTGGTTTACAGTTACCTAGAATATTTTTCCTTCATAAAGCAAAGACACTTTTTTTTTCAACCATAGACTATGGCCATCCCCACAAAAACCTAGTGGTGGGGCATGGGGTAGACCACAAAATGGCTTCCTTCAGACCCAAAGAATAAGTATTGCACTCACTTTCTGATGTAATCACAATGCAACAAAATCAGGACCAGATAGAAAGACGCATCTTTAAATATTTCGTGCTCCATATACTTGAAAGTATTGAAAATCATGGACAAGTTTTGTTATTATTGTCAAAGAGAAAGGCAGGAAGAAGGGAAAAAAACACTAGTAATTAGTAGTTAAATAGTAATGAACCCCATAAGACAATGGTGAGAAGTGTCTTAGAGAGAGAAGAGACAGAGAACAGACGGGAATACAGTAAGGTGACATGAGAAGGGGAGAATGGAGAAAATGAGGATAACGTGATTTCATGAACTGAGGTAGAGGGCTGGCCTGATGATCTGCCTGTACAGCAACTAAGCAACTGTCCCATTGCTTGGCAAATGCGTCGTAGGTTTGTGGTGCTTTCAGAAGCCTGCACTCTGGAAAGCATGGATAAAGGGAACTTAAACAAGACAAGAGATGGGTGAACAGTTCCTATTTATAGAATATCTTGCCATGTAGAGTCCTCCATCCTAAGCCAGCCCAAAGTCAGCAGGAAAACAGTGACTCTTTATACTGGGGGACACCATGCCTCATAGAAAAAACAACACATCTTGCAATTTGGAGGAAAAAGTAAAAGGTATCTGCTCCTCTTTCCCATTCAGTCTATCGTGGCTCATGGCCAGCCTTGTGTCGCTAGCCTAGAGATGCACGGATCATTTTCTGGGAACACTGATGACTGATAGAGGCTCATAGACAACAGCAGGGCAGGTAGCATCAGTCCAGGCTGCAAGCAAGCCCACATTGACAATTACTACCACCAACACACAGCTCCCAATCATCTTATCCATTCTCCACTCTTACACAGCACCAAGCACTGGGGATGGGATGGAGGTGAGAAGGAAGATGGGGGGAAAGAGGCTGTACAAGAAGAAAACTCAGTCTAGAAGCAGATCTATTAATATTCTTACGCAGATGAGGGCTTCCATCCATAACTCAGAACCAAGACACTGCTACAAGCACATGACAAAGGCATTGGATAGTAAAGTTATAATAGGTAATATAAAATGTAATTGGAGGTCTGAAGCATGCTATGGAGAAAAATCTGAGGAACAACAGAGCAAACAGACTAGGAGGAGAACACAGGAAGAAGTGTTCTGAGCGCACAAGATCCATCTCCTGTTAAATATTAGTTGAAATACATTTACTCATCCAGCACTACTGCTGCATGGTCATCATTGTGTCAGACATATACTAAAAAAAAAAAAAAAATGCATTAAGTGGAATCTGGTAGAATGGGGTGGGGGTAGGGGGCTAAATGATTTTTTTCCCTTACTAGAAATTGTTCCATTGCATTTCACAATCTTTTAAACTCCAACTTTAGAAGAAGAAAAAAATACCCAGGTTTCATCTATATTTCCAGATAATGGTCATTATTCCTGCCCTCTTCAACAGACACTTATGACAGTGAGAATTAAGCCCGTAAATTATATATATTAGACTTGACCATGACATGATACATCTTCTGCTCATAATTTAGGCGATCTTATATAATGCAACAGACAGTAATGTTATCATTATTTACAGAAGCTCGGAGGCAGCAGTATTCATCAATCTAAATGACCATGTATTATTTTTAACAGTGAAGTGTCATGAACTATTCCAGGTTAATGCACGTTAAGTGGGACAGAGGGATTAAATTGGGAGATAGAAATAGAGATTTCTCTACATCAACAACGGTGATCTCCTGGGCCCTCTCTTCCTCACCCCTGCCTGAACCTCTCTTCCTCGGCTTTTGCAGATCCATTAAACTAACTTTCTCACAAATATCAATGTACAGTTAAATTTTCACAAGTAAGATTGCTGAAGATTCTAATTGCTCCATAAAAATGTTTGCACATCATGTTCATAATCTCTTGGATAAAGATGCAACAGTTGTGCTCACATTCATCTGAACTGAAACGCCTTTTTTCCATGCTAATAGGTTTTAGTATTTAATTTGATTAACTTCTTACTCTGGTGATATAAATAGGTTGTTTGTTTGTGCTAGCCTAGCAATAACTGCCAGAGGAAGCCCGAGTACTCAACTGTGTTCTACAGCGCGAACCTGTGAGTCCTCACAAATTAAGGCAAGTGTCTGTCATCGTCTCAAAGCTGGGTCTCATTTGGCAGCTTGAGACCCATAGGAAGAAGGTGGCAGCTCTTGGATATTTTAGTTTAAAACCTGCGTTATCTTGATTGAAGTCGCATGGTGGCTGATACCCCCCCCCCCCAAATGCCCACTTACATACAAAACTACTCTCCCGCCATGTTAAAAAACTGTGGTTGTTCCATAATGGATGGAATCGAATGACTTATCAATTTAAATTATGTATGTCTTTGGCTCTACTTAACCAAAGAGTCTCTCATATGCTGTAAGGTAAACAGTGATATTTAACAGTATCCTGAATCCCCTGAAAACCTGCTTCCAACACCTTTTGAGTAACTCACAAATGGATGTATGATTTCTTATTAATTTGGAACTTTTCCTGTGCCATTCCTCTTTATCTATGCAGATCAGCTCTTCTGGATTCAAGGAAAAATAATTAGGTTGTAGATCTACACTTTTGCAAAGTACATGATTGTTTTCTATGTACTTTCAGAGCCTGGGGAAAGACATAGAGGACAGGAATCCAATGACTGGAAAGAAATTAAATATACCTTTTTTAAAGCCTTTCAATTAAGCTCTCAAAATATATATGTATGTAAATAAACCCAGGCTCTGCTAATTGCCAGTATACTTAATCTCTCTGAACCTTAGTGTCTTGGCCTATAAAGTAGAGATAAAAGCATTCCCTTTACAGGGCTGTAGTGAAATTCAAAGGAAAAAAAAATGGGCATAGAAGTTGCTTGTTCTAAAGTCCTATGCATATGAAATTAGGGGTTGTGTGCACCACCTATCATGTGTCCAAGATGACGCTTTGAGTTTAGAGAGAATATGAGAACTATAAGGTACATTCTCATCCCATAATAAATTTGATATCTGTTGAGAAACCAGGAAATAACTAGGAAATGAGATGAGCCTACATAAAACTGAGTTTCACCGGCCAGGTTATGTGTGCAGTTAACAATTCTAAGAAAGGAGTTTGGCATGGGCCTGGAAATTATGAGTGTTTTCTTTCCGAAGGGAGCAGGCTAACTAAGCTCTGCCTGAACAAAGAGGCAAAGATATCTAACAGCTGCTGACAGCTTTCTGTTGCTTAAAATATCTGAAGAGTATGAGGTTTAGGCAGCTCTGAGTCATCTTCCCCTTAACTTGCTAATTTCTTCAGGACCCAGCTCTAGCCATCATGACAACAGCATTCCTGACCTCTGAGCTGCTCAAAATGCTGAGACGGGACTGGAGGTGAGCCGGACACCTCATCCACACCCCGGTGCCACCAACACCCGCTGCAGCCTTGTTTCCAACACCGTGTTGGTTCTCAGCGAGAGACGTCTGGACAGCTGAGGTAGAGGAACTGGAAGGCAAGAAGAAAATCTCCCACGTGTTCTTCTCATCACAGCACTCAAAACTCACAGCTGAGGTAATGGTAGGAAGGACTGGAGACTGAGCCGATCCCGCTGTGACCATGGGTACCAGTTGAGACCAACAGATACAACTCAGTGGTTCCAGTTCCAGGAGGGCCGATGTTAAACAGAACTCCCTGAATGTTCCACATGAGAAATTTAACACAGAAGAACAGTTAAAGCTAGGCAAAGGGAAGAGGCAGTCTCACACAGCATTGTGATGCTCTCAACAAACCCAGATGTGTGATACCTGTCAGGAGAATTGACTCCACATGTGAGAGGTGCAGCCAGTTCAGTATTTTGCAGAAGGAAACAGTAGATGAGCTTGTCTTAGTTAGGGTTATTATTGTTGTGAAGAGACACCACGACCATGGCAACTCTTATAAAGGAAAACATTTAATTGATGATGGCTCACTTACAATTTCAGAGGTTCTGTCCATTATGATCATGAAGGGGAGCATGGCAGCGTGCAGGCAGATGTGGGCTGGAGCTGAGAGTCCTACATCTTGTAAGCAACAGGAAGTTGACTGACTGTCACACTAGGGAAGCTTGAGCAAAAGAGACCTCAAAGCCCGCCCCCACAGTGACACACTTCCTCCAACAAGACCACACCTACCCCAACAAAGCCATACTTCCTAATAGTGCCACTCTCTTTGGGGGTCATTTTCTTTCAAACCACGACAGAGCTACAGAGAGAAAACATAAACTAGCAAAGTCTTGGCCCCAAAGACTGCTCTTTACAGTTAAGTTTTCACAGAGTAAAATATGAACACACACACATACTCATACAAGCACATGCATGCTTGCACATTTTTTAAAAGGGAAGAAGGCTCACAGGGTAAATGTCCGCACTATCCTAGCTAATGTATAAAGGAGAGGGAAAAAGGAGGGTGAGGGCATGTTATGAGGAACTTCATGGAGGGGAATCACTGTGTACTCAGCTGTCTACATCCGGGAGATTGATCAGAGCTCTAGATACTTATATTAAGGGGGCCCCTGTCTATAGAGATTTATAGCTATAACAGCAGCCAGGTATTCTGATTCTGACCATCATCTCTTATCTATAATTCTAAAGAATGAAAAAAAAATCATCAAAACCATTTGTTGCTCTTCCTCTTAAGCAATTGTTTCCATTAATGTTGACTTTCTGTCATGCATGTTTTGAATTAGCACTTTTCCTGGGAGTCCTTCACTGATCTCTATCCTGCAGTAGACACTGATGAGTGACTTGATGCAGGAAACCCCCAGTTGTAGAGGTGGCCTCAGCTCCCCCAGATTCAGCTTCAATCATTCCAGAGCAAACTGGGAACTGGTTTGTGCTCCCCTGAAGCAGACACAGCTGCGATTAAATCCAAGAAGTAACCTGAGGTGCTCTATGGAATGTTTCTCAACCTATGGGTCATGACCCCTTGGGGCATCAAACAACCCTTTTACATGGGTCGCCTAAGACTGTCAGAAAGCATGGGTATTTACAATTCCTAACAGTAGCAAAATTACAGTTGTGAAGTAGCAATGAAAATAATTTTACAGTTGGAGATCACCACCACATGAGGAACTATATTAAAGGGCCAAAGCATTAGGAGGGTTGAGAACCACGGCTCTAGCTAGGGTCATGTGGAATTTTCCTTTTTTTGTTTGTTTGTTTGTTTTTTGTTTTGTTTTGTTTAAATACAAAATGTGGGTTTACTGTTTTTATTTGGTAAGTGTCAACTTTAGTTCACACATATATGGTCTATGAACCTCATTAATCATCAAAATGAACCCCATTCTCTTTGTGTTACCTTGAAACAAAAGACTTAAAACCTGTCAATCACAAATTCCTACATGAAAATAATTTCGTGACACAGCAGAAATGTGGGTATTATAAAAAATGATCTAGTCAAAGCTTCAAACATCTGAGGAATACCACTGAGAGTCACTGAGCATTTTTGAGGGGAAGAGTCACCCAAGAGTGGGCAAGATGAACCGCAAGAGCAAACACTATTATGCAAGTATAAGGTTGTGAATAGAAGGAGAAAAGACTGGGATCTAAGATCTCAACGACAATAAAGAGTTTTGGGCTATGGTGGGTATTCTGGCCTCGGACCTCAGTATGCCGCTGTTCTTTGACAGAAGTGTCTCAGCTCCCCACCCCACCCCACCCCGACTCCCCACCCCCCCGACCCCCCACCCCCACTGCCCTTTCTGCCCATGAAAGCAGATGGCTCTCATTTGCATCACCAGCAGAGAAACTTGCACTTCATGGAGTCGGTAGGAAATAATGCAATTTAGAGGTTTCTGTCACCCAATATCTTAAGAGATGTCAGCTGAGAAAATCATTCTTTAAGGGATTTTGCTAAGGGTCCACGGTTGTCACAGTCTATATAATTGTTTGCGATCATTTGCGTACTTCCCTATGGGAGGAATGCACATTCCCCTTCTGTGGAATGCTGCCCTGGCCTGGTGACTGGATTGCTTCAGCCATGAAATGTCTGTAGACAATGACGAGTGTGTGATACAATGGTTCTAAAAGCTAGCACATGTCGGCTGTGTTCTTTACTCCCGTCTCTGTGATCATGAACACCAAGGGTTCTGTTCACCCAGGTTCCCCAGTGACTGTAACCAGCAGAACCCTTTTTCGACTCACAATGAGCCTGTCACATGAATAAAAAAAAAAAAAGCAACGTTGTAGTTGTAAGTCAGCGGGGGTCTCTGGTGGTGTGTTACCACAGCCCGAACCAGCCTGACGCAGTTGGCAGAGCAGTTTCCTAAAATAAACAATAAGGTGGCAGTTCACTGGGTTCCTATCAGTGGATTTGCTAATGTGGGGAGCACTTAAACATCCTGCTCTCCATGCTGTCCTTGTTGAAGTTCATGGCACAATCTTAACTTGAATATCCACAACAGATCTATTTCTGCCTGGACTTTGTGCTAGGCACTAACATAGTTCTCCTGGGAACAAAACTGTTCAACCACTGAAACACTAACGGGTCAAGTACTTAATACTTCCGGGTTGACTTCCAGGAAGCTTGAGATTTCGGTTTCGGGATAAGTATGAGCAAGCCTCTTTGAAGGATCCAACTTTTTTTTAATTCTGTTTTATGTGCTTTTTTTTTCTTTTTCCCAATTTTTGGGTGACTATTATTTAACTTTATCTTAAGTCCTTTAAAGAAAAAGTTGAAGGGAGAAGGGAGAAAGGAAGGGCAGATGCCAGAGAGGGAAGAGTGGAGAAGTTACAGGAAGCTGGCGATGCAATGGTTCAGTTGATAGAAAGCTCATCCAACACGCTCAAAGCCCTCAGTTCAGTCCACAGTACCACACAAAGTAGGGCTGATGCCTACAATCCAAAAATCAGGAGAAAAAAAGGCAGAAAAATCAGGAAGGTCAAGTTCAAGGTCACCCTCAGTTAAAGGTGAGTTTAGTGCCAATGGCCAATCTAAAATGTATAGGACCATATCTCAGGGAGAGGGGGGAGAGGGAGAGAGAGAGAAGACTGTCATATCACCATAATAGCTCCTAATGAATGTAAAATTTTAGATCTATTGAATGAATAACTAATTTATTCAAAATTCCCTTGAACCCAACCAATCAAACAGAAAGGTTCTTACTTGAGAACACTTCCACTAATTATATTTGTTTTTAACATTTTCTTGTTGTTTCTGAGAAGCTTTGCAGTTCAAAATACACAATCAAACTCTCTTAATAATTAATATTTTAACTTGAGGTGTGTTTCATACTGCACAACATAAGCACTGTTAAGTCACGCAGAAGAATGGATGATGTATTCCTAGATTGCTGGAAGTTTCCATAGTGTAGCTGCTCCGTTCAATTTGGTGACTAAAACAACAAACAAAAACAGCATGGGACAGACTAGGTTTCTGTAGGCCAGCCATGTGCCAACCTAGTGGCTTAGGGAACCCAAAATAGAGCCACAGTTAGTATGGAAATAGCACTAACTGGAGTGCTTTCAGGAGGAGGTAACAGTGAGTTGTGTCTGTTCATCATGGTTCCTTCAAAGCTTTCCTTATCGTTTTCTTCCTCCCCTTCTCCACGAAACACTTTTTTTTTTTAATCTGGCAATTAAACTGTCTGGCTAAGGAGACTAGGCTCAGCCTCAGCTCCTATCCCTAGGAGGGACTCTCTGAAGTTGGCCCTCGGGACCCCTAAGGCTTTCTTCTGGCTTAGGTACAGATCTGCCATTTGTTAGAGGACCCTTTCCCAGCACCAAGTATGTTGGGGTCACTGGGAAAGAGGAAACTTATGAATAAATTTGAAAGGGGGTCTGAAAATTTAGATGAATGCCAAAGGAGTCCTTTGTGACTAAAATTAAGTAGCCATCGCCATCGAGGACAAACGCTTAGCAGACGCCGGCCCCCAGCAGTCTCCCAAGGTCTCCTCCAGGAGGTAGAGGCATGGATCTGTGCTAAATGGCTTAATTTTCTTAATCAACTATTTCATTGTGAGTTTTTAATTTCATTCCCATGCCTATTTTTTTTTTTCATTTTGCCATAATGCAGCTCTAAGTACCGTGTCGAACATTTGACAGTTTTTCTCAGCAGGTGCTGGGCTCTTTGGAGCTGGCGAAGCGGTCTACCTCTTATTAATTGGGTTTGGAAAGGCGTTCTTGTGTGAACAGAAGCTAAGATGGGACTGTGGTACCTGTCACCATGAAGCTGGGTGAACGAAAATATTTGGAACGTGTTTTAAAATAACTCATTGTGGAGCTTGATCGTTAGCAAAGGTAAAAAGCCGAAATACTCTTAAATGTTGAAATAAATAATCACACAATCCGAGGAGCAATGAAACGAAAACCGAGGTGAGGTTTGTCCAGGGTTCTTCTGGGTTTGATAACAAGAAGGACACTTTCTTTGTGCCCTACAGGTTGTACATTGATGGGGTATTTCTCACACAGCATCTTGACACGTCTAGAAAGCTGGGAGGCACTGTGTAAAAACTAACAAGTAAAGCCATCTCAGTGCCTCCAGAAGTTTACAATTTTTTTTCCTTAATTTGAAAGATCTCTCCCCCCCCCCTTATTAAGCAAAGCTCTCAATCTGAAATTTCACATTCCAGCTTTAAAACCTCTGCCCCACCTTGACCCTCAGAGGAATAGATCTTCCTTTTGGAAAAGCAGAAGTGTCTGTTCCGACTTCTCTTCCGTTTTTCATGTCTCATGTGCTTCAAGTTAAATGAACTTTAATGGCACACATTCTAAAACTCCCACATAGGGTGGGAGATCAAAGGGAGGCAAGGGGAGAGCTGTCACAGTTGAGGGCAAGCTCAGAGAGGCAGAGAGGCTCTGGTCACAGCCGCCATGGTTGTCGTCATTAACTGGCCTTGGCTGAGAATTAGTGAGCACTGTGTCCTCCTGAGAGACAGAGCCTCGGAAGAAGTCTTTCCACAGAGGGTTCTACCATGCTGCAAAGTGGTGGGAGAAGATAGAGTGACGGACAGGACGCCTCTGAGTTCTGCTCCCAGAGCTCAGAGTTCAGTCTTTTAGCTAACTGAGCTGTATTCACTTGGTTGCTTGTTTGTTTAAGCTAGTGTTCGACTTCAGAGCCCAGGCTGGCCTCAGATTCACAGTTCTTCTGACAGAGTTTCTCAAGTCCTGGGGAGACAGCTGTATACTGGCAAGATCAGGAGTCAGGTGTGTGTGTGTTTGTGTGTGTGTGTGTGTGTGTGTGTGTGTGTGTTATGTACAGGTTGACTCATCTACACATCCTCATATAGAGGCCAAAGGGTGACTGACACTAAGGTACCTTCCTGAATCATTTCTCTACATTATTTTTTCAAGCAGGGTCTCTCACCGTACCCAGAGCTTGTTATTTCAGACTAGCCGACCAGTGAGGACCTATCTATCTCTGTCCCCTAGCAATTAAAGGTGTGCACTGCCCTTTCTTGCCTTTTCCATGGGTCCTGAAGCTTTCGATTCAGAGCTCATGTGTGCACAGCCAGCGCTCTATCCGCTTAACCATATCTCCAGCACAACACTTTTTCACAAGCAAAGAGCCACAGCAGATAGTGTGTTTCAGTTTATTTGTGTACACTTGTCATTGGATATGTTCAGCTGTTGCATCATTTTATATCTGCATAACATTTCCCTGAGTGGATGGAAAATCAGTTAAACTCAATTTCCATGAATAATGTTTAATATGGATCTGACACGTCAATATTTCAGTCACTAAGAATGACGATTTCTGTAGCACAGATTTCTAAAGCCAGATTTCTAAACTTAGGGGTTTAAAAGGATGCTACACATTTTTTAATTATCTTGCAAGAAGTTGTAAAAATTTACAGTCCTATCATAAATAATGAGAAAAAATTTGTTCTATATA